GGGTGGGGACAGCTGGGTGGGCACAGCGTGCGTTCCTGCCTTATAAAGCTAACTGTGGTGTTTCAATTCCTGTTCCCTTGGGTCCAGAACAGCCACTCATCCCCATTTTCTTGAGGCCGGTTTGGCTGTTGAAGGTGGCCACAGCCTCTGAAAATTATTCTCAGACTTAGGGCTATAATGTCATTCACAGTGATTGATGTCTGATCCTATGAGGGATTTTGGTCATTTTTGTGTTTAGGTTGATCCACAGTCATTCACCTGGCTGTTAAGGCTGACAGGATTTTGTGGTTGTCTCCATCCCCGAGGCTCCGTGGACGCCCTTCCTGGGAGCACATATCCAGTGTCCTCTGGGGAGTAGTGGAGGTTGGTGTGTATGTATGTCTGTCTCCGTGTGCCTCAGATTATTTCTTCCTAATAAAATTCTGTTAGCTGGGCCCCATCAATATCTCAAATACATGTGAGGAAACGTTAATTTAGAATCAATTTTAGGATGTTTCAGACTGTAAAGTCCTTTTAACTAGATCTCTGGCAAAGATGTAGAAGCACTTTATGGGACTGTAAATTTCATGTTGAACAGTCTTCGTGAAATACACATTTCCCCTACACACAAGCTGTTCTCTCCATATCAATCATGGTCCCTGCAAGTAATGTTTCACAAATATTCTGTAAATCACAGAAAACCCCATGAAAATGTGAAATATGACTTTCACTTGTCTGTTAGACAAAAGAATCACACATGCCTCTCTCCCATCAGCACTAACATTTGTTATGGATAATAACACTTTCAATCACAACTATTTTTGGAAAACGGGTTTATTTTAAACCTTGCCTCCCCCACTGAAAACACTCTCCCAAGGACACAGACTCCTACAAACCACAGCCCATTAATCCAACTACAGAATGGAAACTTTTTCTTCTTACTAACTTTTTTTTTAAGTTGTTTTTAAGAGAGTTAGTATAAAAGCCCAAGGTACAAGGTTAAGGAGCATTTTTCCTTAGCTGATTGGTATGAGAAGGGCCAGGTCTCTAAAGACCCCCACATTTCTGGCCCTGTGTGAAGTGAGGGGTGAAAGGCACCCAGGTTTTTAGCAAGCACCTTCATCTCATCTGGTCCTTTAGTTGCTGGCAGCAGGGGATCCAAGGAGCTAAAACGTTAGCTCTTAAACATGAAGTCGACATTTTACCACCTTGATATTCTTCACGCCATTACAACACAGCTAAATCCTCCCTGTTCAAGTAGGAGATGATCTGTTCAAGAGGTGTATTTTGAATGTCACAACATCTGCATGGGTGACAGAGGCTCACCCTGCCTCCAGCCAATTGCTGGAAAAGCAAAACCCATAGAGTAAACTACAGGACTTGCATAGTTCTAAATATTTTGGTAACCTGTCTTTTCCCTCCCTCTGTAGCCAACTTCAGGACTGACTGACCATGACTTCCATAAAGGAGCAGGCAGCAATTAGCCGGCTCTTGAGTTTTTTACAGGATTGGGACAACGGTGGCAAAGTCGCAAGGAGTCACATCCTCGACAATTTCATCAAGACCAACCAAGGCAAGACCTCTCCTGAACTGGAGCAAGAGTTTTCCCAGGGAGCCAGCTTGTTCCTGGTACGCTTGACCACCTGGCTTAGGCTCATGTATCCTTTGCCGAACAGAAATAAATTGGGCAATCTTCAAAGGAGAAATGGAACGGAGATTATTGGGAGAGCTCTTCTCTTGAGTCTCCCTAAAATTGTAGGTCAGGAAATCTGGTGATCAGAGTAGCGTCCAAAAAGTCAAGAACTCCCTCCCACTTCTGTCTTCCCGACCTACACATGTATCCTCATTCTCACCCCTAACCTCTTACGCTCCCATCAGATTTGGTGTGGATATTCCTTCTGTCTGGGGTTAATCCTCTCTGTCCTCAAGGACTTTATTCTTTCTCTCTGATGGCCTTCACTTTTGCCTCCTTACCAGCTTTTTCATCAACATTTACATATGCTCAAATCTCTTCTACCTTAAGAAATTAGATTAAATCCCCATCTCAAACCAATATTCCACCTAGTTCCTACCCTTCATGGTGAAGCTTCTTGAAAAGGTTATTGACTTTCCCTGTCTACGCTTCTTCACCTCCCTTTTCTCCTCCGCCCACTGCAGTCTGACTTCTGTCCCCTTCACTGATGCAGGTCTTGCCAAGGTTACTGCTGTTGTTCTAATTGCAAAACCCAGTGACTACATCCTTGGTCATTACACATGACCTCTCAGAGGCACTTGTCAACCATTACCACTTCTCAAAAAACTCTTCCCTGAAACTAACATAATGTTATATATCAATTAAACTTCAATAAGAAGAAAGAAAGAAAAAGAAGAAGAAGAAAGCACATATAGGTCATCACAAAAACAAAAAACTACCCACTCTTCCCTTGGTTTCTGGGATACCAATTCTCTTGGTTTTCTCCTTTCTTTCTGTCTTTTCCTCATTTTCTTCAGCCATCCCTGAAATGTGGATATTTCTTGGGACTCCATCCACATCCCTCTCCCTCGGTGACCTAATCCATCATCATGATGTCAACACTACTCCGGGTGAAGGGTTCTCAGTTGTGTACCCCTGCCCACATTTCTCTCTGAAATCTGAGTTCTATACCTATTAATCCAACTACCATCTCCACTTCTACCCCACAGAATGACTCTCATGTTTCTGGCTTGGGAAACTGGGTGAATGGCGTGCCATTATGTGGGAAGAGAATACAAGAAAAGGAGTTGGGTTAGTTAAGTCTGGTTTGGGACATGCTGTGTTTGAGGTGCCCGTGCTCAGGAGTCCTAGAGACAGATTGGGGTTGAAGACAGATGTAAAAGTTTGGGTTATGGGTGCATTTGAGGATATTCCTGCTCTGTGTGCCCACAGCATCCATGGATCATCTCAGATCCTTTTTTTTTTTTTAAGATTTTATTTTTTAGTAATCTCTATACCCAATGTGGGGCTCAAACTCACAACTCTGAGATCAAGGGTCACACACTCCACTGACTAAGCCAGCCAGGCACCCCTCAGATCCTTTTATTATATATTTTTCTCCTTGCCTGAACCATCTCCTCTCCTCTAAACCTACTTCTTATTTGACTAATTCTTACTCCATCATTCAGATCTCAGTCTAAACATCCCTTCCTCAGGAAGCCTTTTTCTGAGCCCGAGACTAGCCTAGGTTCCCCTGTTACATATGCTCATGGCAGCCCCTCTGTCTTGATCATTATAACATTGTATTGTTTGTACCTGCTTAATATTGGGGCACCTGGGTGGCTCAGTCGATTAAGCGTCCAACTCTTAATTTTAGCTCAGGTCATGATCTCAGGGTTCTAGATTGAGCCCTGTGTCGGGTTCCGGGCACTCAGCGGGAGTCTGCTTGGGATTTTTCTCTCTCCCTCTGCCCCTCCCCCACCCCCACTTGCTCTGTGCGTGCGCTCATGCTCTCTCTCTCTCTCAAATAAATAAATCTTTTAAAAAAATATCTCGGGCACCTGGGTAGTGCAGTCGGTTAAGAGTCGGACTCTTGGTTTACTTAGGCTCAGGTCGTGATCTCAGGGTCGTGAGATGGAGTCCCACATCTGGCTCCACGCTCAGCGCAGTCTGCTTAAAATTTCTGTCTCCTGCTCCCTCTGCCCCTCCCCCCACCTCTCTCTCTCTCTCTCTCTCTCTCATAAATAAATAAATCTTCAAAAAAAATCTCTCTTCCCCACTGGGTTATAGGCTCTGTGAGAGCAGGAATCACATCTGTTCTCATCTCTGCATTCCCAATGCCTAGGACTATGCCTGGCACGTAAGAGGTACGTACTACATGTTTGTTCAGGAAAGGAAGAAGGGAAGCAGAGTCTGCCGCTGGGCAGAACTAAAGGCTTCAGTAACCACAGCTCTCTTTATCTTACAGTTACATCATTGATAAAATTTCTAATCAGACTCAGACCTAGAACAGGTCAAGGGGAATACCACTGATTATGTCTCTAGGTTGACCCCAATGTCCTCAGACATTAGAGTTCATACCAGAGGTTTAAATTGCAGATTACCAGCCTGCCTCCTCACCCCCACCCCACTGCTCTGATTTAGTAGACTGAGGGAGGACTCCTGGCCTCTTTGTTTCTGATAAGCACCCTGGGGGACTCTGATGCCTGTGGTCCAAAGATGATACTTTGAGAAACATCAGCACCTATAATTTGGCTTCCGCCTCACAACCTGTGATACTAACCTCACCAAGGTATCAGCAATGCCTTGGTCGCCAAATCTAGACCACCTTTTGCCTGCCTCATCTTACTTACATCGCCTCCCCCTAGCCCCGGTCCTGCTTGACCACTGCCCCTTCCCACGCTGTCCTGTCCCCCACCTTCTCCCACAGCTGGTTCTTAGCCTCTGTGGCAGGATCTTTCCTCCCCACCCCTTACGTGGTAGTTTCTCTTCTTAGTCATTGCACTTACTACCCTTGGCATTGTATCATTCTTCCCCATCTCCCAAGTGCCAGTCAGAACGCCCTGCATTCATGAGACACTTACGGCACGCTTATTGAATGACTGAAAGAACCATGCTTTCAATATACAGTCATGTGTTCAGTGTCTACACCTGACATTATGCATAGTTTCCTAACTTTTTTTTTTTTTTTTTAAAGATTTTATTTATTTATTTGACAGAGAGAGACACAGCGAGAGAGGGAACACAAGCAGGGGGAGTGGGAGAGGG